GATAAAAAAAAAAAAAAAATTCTCACTCCTCTTTCTTCTCACGAATCACTTTGACCACCTCACCTCCATCCCCTTCTTCCCTTCTTTCTATTTCTATCTGCTTTAACCAATTATTAATCGTATTTGAACATTGTATGTTTTCCCGGTGTATAATTCTCCATTTTTCCTGCATTTAACCGGATGCGATGACTGATCTCCGTTGAATTCTTGTCTTGAACATTCAGAACTCCTTGATTCCAGACATAAAAAAAGTTGGAAACTTTTTTGTTTGTCTTTATTAAGCAATGGGTACCTGTTTTTCCACCATAAAAGTGAGTGGTTCCAATAGCAACAACCCTCCCACCACCAACAACCGCCGCTCCTCCGCCGGTAATCCTTCCACGATTACATACAAAAAGCGAGAGGGGCCCCGCAATCATCAGAAGCCGCGTGAAAATAACAAGAACCATCAACAGCAGAAGCAAACCCGGCAGACAATCAAGAATGTCTCGAAAAAGTCAAGTGGGATTATTCCATGTGGCAAAAGGACAGATTTTGGGTATGATAAGGATTTTGATAAGAGGTATACCATTGGGAAATTGTTGGGGCATGGCCAATTTGGTTATACCTATGTTGCAATTGATAAGTCCAATGGAGATCGTGTTGCTGTTAAAAAAATAGAGAAGAACAAGGTTATTAATCCCCCAATCCCTCCTACTTATGGCTCTCGTTTTATTTTATTTTCTCAATTACCTGATCTGTTTGATTTTTATCTTTTTTATCTTTTTTTTTTTTTGTTCTGTATATTAACCAGCAATTGATTCAACGAAGATTGTGTTGAATTTTTGATGCAGAATAATATATATTATTTTTGGTATTTAAATATTTAGTAGATTAATTAATATATTATTAATATTAGCATTTAATATTTATTTATAATTAGTGACTTGGTGGACAAGATAAGTTTTATGTTTAGGTGTCTTATTTAAAGCTCTATCTTCTTGGGGTGGTGAATTTTGAGATTGAATCATATATTGTGAGTTTTGTGTGTTTTACGAGATCCTTCCTATTTGTACGCTTCCCTACATCAGTTGGTATCAGCAGTCGGTACGATTCGCGATGTCACCGGGACGACAAGATGCCGCAAACAAACGATTGGTTTCAACAGATCGACTACTAAGATCGACTACTAATTTGACAGTTGGACGTGCGTTTTACGGATTAGTGTGCAGACCTTTCAACGAGGATCGAGGATTTGTGTTTGACGCTTAACAACGTGGTCTGAGATTTGCAGATGAACCGTGCCGCCGGCGACTGGGGTGTGTATGGGGGAGTTCACGGAGGAAGTGGATGTCGTGTTCCAGACGGGGCGCCCCGTCGGCGATCTCCACAACCGCCACCCGGCTATACAGACGGCGAGGAGACCATCTCGGAGGTGGATCCCTTCGGAGAGTGGCTGCCACCGCACGTCGAGACTAAGCTCGTTGCTATGCATGACAACCAAGATGTGCGGCAACAGAGTGCGATTTTTGAGGAAGTGGATGGTCCGCCAATTCATGGAGCCTCTGCCTGATGTGGACATTAGGCAGATGGAGAGACGGAGTATCCCGAGCATATGCGACACCATGCGATTCATCTTGACGATCGATGGTAATCGTGTTGTGGCCTCACAGGGTGTGGATGTCAATAATGAATTTTGTAAATCCATTGCTCATGATAGAGGATGCGACGTGAACAAGGGCACTATTGTCGAGATGGGAGGCTTTGATAGGCTTCTTATATTGTTGTAGATTCTTACGAGAGATCGTTTGTTTCAAGCCTCGTTAGTCCGGACGAGATTGACGTCGAGTTTTATGATGGTTGGTGCCCTTGACGACGTGCCGATGGTTCTGGAAGAATTGGTAGGTTACCTGGTGCGTTGGCTCGAGCTTTTCTTTCACATGAATTTGTTGCGGCCTTGCAGACAAATGCGACATTCAACGTTCGTATTCGATAGGGGAAAACGTCGAACAATTCCCGTCATAGGAACATTTCCAACGAGACCGGGTTGGATTCGAGGGCGAATCCTGCTCAACCGGAGGAGAATGATGTAGAATAATATCTATTATTTTTGGTATTTAAATATTTGGTAGATTAATTAATATATTATTAATATTAGCATTTAATATTTATTTATATTTAGTGACTTGGTGGAATGTTTAGGTGTCTTATTAAAAGCTCTCTCTTCTTTTGTTATGGGGTATGGGGTGGTGAATTTTGAGATTGAATCATATATTGTGAGTTTTGTGTGTTTTACGAGAGAGTATCTCGTTTATCCTTCTAGGCTTCCCTACATCAATTTTACCATCCTGGACATGAATGATTTAGCTTTATTGCCATTAGTGCTGTGTTAGTTGGATTAATTCCTAGGAAATAGAGCTATGGCTGATTTTTTTTTTTTCTTTTTCTTTTCTGATAGACCCTTTGTCCATTTATTCATGTCTGATAGATTCTCAAATCTAAGATTTTCAGATGTAAGATTTAGCTAGATTGTTCTAAGCTTCCTTAAAGTCAGGCATGCAAGATGAATATGTTTAGATCACCTATGGTTGTAATTTATTCTCGATTAGGATGGCACTTTCTTTTCTTATGTACTTATATTTTATTACCCCTCTGGCCTCTCCATTTATGTCGTGGGCATTTAAGATGTGATTTTGGTAGCTATCAAAATAGATATTTAGATGGCAGATGTTGAACTGTCCGTCCACTAAGCTATTGATGATATTAATTTACTTACCATAGAAAGGCTCTACAGTTAAAGAATTTCTTGAATATATGACAGATGGTTCTTCCTATTGCCGTTGAGGATGTCAAGCGAGAAGTCAAAATATTGAAAGCTTTAGCTGGCCATGAGAATGTGGTTCACTTCTATAATGCTTTTGAGGATAATTCTTATGTATACATAGTTATGGAGTAAGTTGTGGTTTTAAACTGCAGTGAATTTTTCTACATTAACCTATGTGTAACCAAACAGTGTGTTAGTAATGCACTTTCAATTTTTTCTTGTTTAGGCTATGTGAGGGTGGAGAACTGCTAGACCGTATCCTATCAAAGTAAGCATCTCTGAATTCTCTATTTAGTCTTTTTAAATATATGTTGTTTATGAAAATTTTGCTTTGCTGGCAGTTGAATCTTTTTTTTTTTTATCCTTTAACAGAAAGGATAGCCGTTACACGGAGAAAGATGCAGCAATTGTTGTGAGGCAGATGCTAAAAGTTGCAGCTGAGTGCCATTTACATGGTTTTGTACACCGTGATATGAAACCAGAGGTATGTGAGAAAAGTATTTCCATTTTTGGCTCGACTAATGCTGATTGGTATTCTAAAATGTATGTTTTTCCCCAGAATTTCTTATTCAAGTCTCCTTTGGAAGATTCACCGCTGAAGGCTACAGATTTTGGACTTTCTGATTTCATACGTCCCGGTAATCAGAAATTGAGAAACTGGTCTTTTAATCACCATACACCGTCAAATTTGATTGTCCCCTATATTTTTTAACCTTTCTTAAGTCTTTCATGCATGCATGCATTGAATGCTGGCCTTATATATGGAATGCAAGATATGTCTGTCATTTTTTTATCGTGTTCTCATCTTTCAGAAACTCATTAAATTTTATCAGGCAAGAAATTCCGAGACATTGTCGGCAGTGCATATTATGTTGCGCCAGAGGTTTTGAAACGTAAATCTGGGCCTGAATCAGATGTGTGGAGCATTGGTGTGATTACTTACATTTTACTTTGTGGCCGACGGCCATTCTGGGACAAAACAGAGGATGGCATATTTAAGGAGGTTAGAGACTTTACAATTATATTCGTACTTGTTTTGGTTCTCAAATGTTATATGATCACAATGTTTACGGTATCTGAAAATTCCTTCTGATCCTGATCCATCAATTGATTTGTTCATGTTTATTATGGATAATATCCTTGTTCGGTTAATTCTTCGAACCTTTGTGCCGCTCATACAGAAAGACCTATTTCTAATTATTAGATCAGTCCAAGAATTTCGATTTCATAATAGTTGTGATGTGATATAGTGCATATTAAATTGGGTTATGACTGCAAGTTTGGTGATTGTAGGTCCTCAGGAACAAGCCGGACTTTCGTCGCAAACCATGGCCAGGAATAAGCGATTCCGCTAAAGATTTTGTAAAGAAATTACTAATGAAAGATCCTCGTGCAAGACTTACTGCAGCTCAGGCCTTATGTATGTCCTATCCTCCAACTAATAATTATGCATTTGCCATACTACTAATAAGAATGGAGCATGCAAATTTTGTAAAATGTTATTTACATCAATCTCTTTTTAGGTACAACAACATTGCCTTCTATATCTGCATTACTTTATTTATTATGATTTCTATACTAGCTATAGGTGCATTCTTTATATTCTCTTACTTCCTGGCATAAAATATGACCACAGGCTAATGTTGACTATACAGATAGTACTTATTGGCTGTGTTTATTAAAACAATCAACAGGCTTTGAGCTTAGAAAATCATATAAAATGATCGTGCCATAGTATGGTCATGTGAGCTAGTTTATGAAACAAGTTGGAGGCATGCCGAGTCTCCCTCTATAAAGAGCCAAAGCAAAGACTTTTTCTAATAACCTTACTTAATGTTCGTGTGAGTTGTGCAGCTTTGATCTCAATTGTCACAATTATTCTCAGATAAATAAGACTCACTTGAATCAATTTTTATCACGTAATTTGTTTTTCACCATAGGAATTTGTGGTGTATAAATTGCTTTTCCTGTTGTGGAGGTGGATAGTGTGTAGGTGAGGGGAATGTATTTATGAGAAGCAAGCATCCGTCTACTTTGGTCTGAGAGAAGACAGTGAGTGAAAGTATTTAAAAATTTAATTGGTTTGGAGAACATTTGACTTGGTCCAGATAAATAGGTTAAACCAAACATGTTTCGATATACAAATATTCTTTGGAATAATATGAGTTTTTCTCAAACTTGAAAACCAAAAGGTTATTCCTTAGCTTCAGATGGAATTTTTTTAATGCATGCAATTAGCTCCTTATGAATCTATTATCTAACTCAACGGGCTCTAGGCACTCTTCTGAAAGTTATATACCAGATTGTGACATATATTAGAGCTGTTGAAGACAAGACCAGTTATGACTTTTAGTTTTTGCTTAATGGATAAGAACCTTTGATACTGAAGAGCGAAGTCGATGTTAACTTGCATATCATGTGGCCACTAATGTTATGAAAACACCTTAAACAATGTGTGCATTGCATGATCTAGAAGGCGCATTCTAATTTATGTATGTGTATTCATTGCTGGGTTTTGTGCAGCTCATCCATGGGTTCGAGAAGGAGGTGACGCTTCAGAGATTCCTCTCGACATTTCTGTTCTATCTAATATGCGGCAATTCGTGAAATACAGCCGGTTTAAGCAGTTTGCGCTTCGTGTAAGTTTTCTTGTTACTGAATTTCTATGGTGACTAGAGAGAAAAAATAGGGAGGTAACTAACTGCATCAAATCAAATAATTTTTTTTACCAGGCATTGGCAAGTACACTTGACGAGGAGGAGCTTTCTAACCTTCGCGACCAGTTTGATGCAATCGATGTTGATAAAAATGGTGCCATTAGTCTTGAAGAAATGCGGCAGGTTACTTGTTTTCCTTTGTTTTGTCATGCCAGATTTTCTTGGGCTTTTTCTTTGCATGAGCCTTTCATTTTTCCTGATTTTCAATAGGCAATGCACTATTTATGTATTTCTAGCAGTTGTTATAGTATCTCGTGTTTTGATTTTCACTCTTAGGCCTTGGAGAAGGATCTTCCTTGGAAAATGAAGGACTCGAGAGTTGTTGAAATCCTCCAAGCGGTATGTCTTGCATTACATGAGAGTTTCAGATTCTTCTCTTGCCATTTACCTTTGTTATTTATTTATTTTTTTGATTTTTTGCAGATAGACAGCAATACAGATGGGCTTGTAGATTTCTCTGAGTTTGTTGCAGCCACTCTGCACGTCCATCAATTGGAAGAACATAATTCGGAAAAATGGCAGCAGAGATCACAGGCGGCCTTTGAAAAATTCGATGTCGACCGTGATGGGTTCATAACTCCAGAAGAACTTAAAATGGTAAAAGATTACGATTAGATATACTTCTGTTGAAAGATTTTTCTCGCAGGACAAAAGTGTTTGAAAAATATTTTGGGGAGAAAAAGGAATAATTTATGAAGTGATTGAATGATAAGATGGAAATGTCATTATACTAAACGCTGTGATGCTAAGATAATAAAATAATGAGTGGTTAAAAATACGAGGGGATGGACAGTGAATTTTATAGTAAATTATGTAGCAATGATTGATTTTTACATACTAACTATTAATTGTATTCATAAAGTTGAGGGAGAAAGTGAAAGGAGTGAATACTGTAATTTTCTT